GATGATGATGATGACGACGACGACGACGACGACGATGATGAGCTTTGAACTGCGCATCTGGAAGGGACCATATGGATCATCAAGTCCAACATTTATATTTCATAATCTTGAGTGACAGCTCTAACAAACAGAAATTCATACCAGTTTTATTATGACATCAAATGCAACTTGCTCCATTTTACTTACAACACTTCTCTCCTAACAACCCCCTAAAATTCAGATATAACTCACCAACCATTTAAGCAGCCAATCAAAGTCACTTAGTATTTCGTATTCTCTGCAAGGGATAAAGTAGTTTGGAGCAACAAGTGGAGATGTTAACATTTTCAAAAGGCACTAGGTCCAGATATCTTAAGTTGTCTGCAGATGGGGATGTTAGATTATGAATAATACACAGTAATTGCAGTATATAAACTCAGAAATTGCAACCTATGAAAGTTCATCCTTGATTAGGCTCACACAAGATAACATTATAATGCTCATGAGTGTTAAAATGTACAATTATATACCAAAATATCTCAACTTCAAAAAGAAAGCCACAAAGGTTCATGGTCTCATGCTGTGCACATATCATTTTATTTTTTAGCAATAATTTTAGCAAACCAGTGCCTTAGGTTAATATTAGCTATTACTATAGAGTAAAACACTGCAGTGGCTTACATTGCAGCAGCAAATCGTTACTAAGCGACAAATGGCCACTTGTATCTGCACTAGTTGCACAAGCAGCAGCTCATTAACTCATGGAATGCACTCTTCTGATTTACACCCATGTACTTATGCTGGCATAACTAATCAATAGGATTCTGGTCTATGTTCAGGGGGAAAAAGCTGTCCATTGAGTGAACCTTGTATTGCCTCCTCAAAATAAATGGGCTAAAGCACATCAGATGTTTTAAAAATAATAATGTCCATTTCCCCCAACATCTTCAAACTTCATCTTTCCTTCTGATAGAGTTCCAACAGAGGTGGCCAGTTTCCACCAATTTTTAAATTATTGGTGCTGGAAAGAAGAGGAAATAGCAACCTTGCTTATACATTGCATACAACGCACTGGTGACAGACAAAAAGTATGAATAATTTTGGAGTACAACATGTAACCAAATGGAATTTAGTTGCTACTTTGTAGATTGCAACAGTCAACCTCTCACTTTTATTGTCTATATGAAGACTTGTCATAAACTAAAACCAGCGCAGTTTACTTTGCTACATGGTTTGCCTGCTTGTGTAAATACGTAGCATATGCTATAAGCTACTGCCACCAGGCTAATGTTTGAGCAAGTTCGTAGATGGATTTGCTTTAGGATATACGTAGGTACTTTCCACAAAGCACTGCTTGCACTGTAAAATGTATGTCAAGGGAATGTACTTAATAGGAAACAGATTCCACTTTTATTCAGAAGAAAGCTTTATTCTGGCAAACCAGAAACAATTACAGACATGGTTTCTTCCGTTCACTGTTTTGAGCCACATGCTGAATAGGTTTGTCAATGCTTATCCAGAAATCTGTGGAACTGATGTAAAATTATAGCTTCAAAATGCTTTTCTTGACAATAATCCAGCATTCCTGTTGATCATTTAGCAATTTTTTCTCTCTCTGGGTTTTCCATTGAGAGGGCAATTATTAGATTCTCTTATTTAAGTGCTTGATTGGAAAATCATAATGAACATCTTGTTGTGAAACAGTCTAAACTGTTCCCTTGTATGGATTAATGTGCTCTGTCTTTCAAGGGCAAACAACCCCAACAACAGTGGTACAGCAGGCCAGGTGAGGGAGAAAGAGGGCCCCAACAACAGAAATAGCAGTGTTTTCTTCACCACCTGAAAGAATGCAAGAACCATAAAGTGCCTTGAAATAGCAACTGAATTTACTAAGGCATTCGTTGATAATTGATGACAAAACTAGACCAGCCCAAAGGACACATTCAAATACCATCCACTTGTGGTTAAATCTGGCTGGGTGCATCATGTCCAACATCGCCTGGAGCACTATTATATTTGTAGAATGCTTCCAGCTAAAACAGCAAAATAAATAGTATGATAAGTGACACATGATCTGTTTGTCTCACATTTGAATCCCACCCCTCCTCAAAAGGTTTCATCCATGGGGATTATCAGTTTTATCTCCCCAGCCAAATTAAACAGAGTGATGTGCCTACAAACATCAAATGAGCTTCATGACTGACTGGGAATCCAAATCATGTTCATCCCAGTCTGTACTAAATCTACACCAGTGGTTCCCAGCCTTGGGTTCCCAGATGTTCTTGGACTACAACTCCCAGAAATCCTGGCCAGCACAGCTTCTGGGAGTTTTAGTCCAAGAACATCTGGAGAACTAAGTTTGGGTATCACTTGTCTACACTCTTCCCTATACTTGCTGTCTCTAGACATTGATCAATATATAAACCAGTTTTCTCTGTGTAGTTAACCATTGGTATATACTTATACTTACTACATAAAGGAGGAGCAGCCTCATAATTCTGTTCTAGTTCATGTATTTATACTATATACTTTTGTAAACTACTTTTAAAGATTTTTCAGGGGGCAGGACATAGAAAGTTTGCTTATACTGAGTCAGATCACTAGTCCATCTAACCCGGTACTATGAACTCTCAAAGGTTCAAGGAGGATTCTTTCCCAACTGTGCCTGGGGATCTCTGGTATTTCCTGTGGGTCTCCCACCCAAGTGCTAACCAAGCCCCACCCCGCTTAGCAGCCAAAATCAGCCATAAAGATGGTACAAAGGGTTATAGACGCACCACCACTTAGTAGAAGAATTCAGGGAATACTAGAACTTACATGTGACAAAACTGAAATGTTCAGTCATAGAACACTTGGTAGTTAAAATTGTCAGACTTGATTTTGAAATTGTATGTTCCTGCCTTCCGGTGGTGTCGGTAAATTAGAAGAACTGTTATTCCCAGTACAAGAACAAACACACCAATGACAATGAGGACTATATAACCCACGCCTAAACCAGGCTTGTCCTCTCCCTTTAAATCATCTGAAATAAAAGAAATGGAAAGATGACATTTACTACTCCATAAAACTTAAGGACCAACAGTATAAAACATGATGAAATTTGAAATGTGCACTCTGACTTTTATAGTTCAATTTTGCTTATGCTTACTTGGAAGAAAGTTGAAGTTCACAAAATTCAGTGGGGCTTGCTTGTAGGTGAACATAGATATGACTGCATTCTTAATGGTTCATTTATTGATGAAAATCCCATCTATTTATTTAATTGCTTGGAAAATAGAGCCATTGGTTAACATCACAGTCAATGGCTTTGCATTTCTTTGTGGGCAGGACACACACAAAAATATATGATGGGATGGGAGGTAGTGGAGGATTTGGTCTGGTTTCCTTCACCCATTGATCCAAGCTGATTTTTACTGAACACCACAGGATGTAATAAAACATAAGTATTGATAATTCCTAATCTGATGAGGCAAATATTCAGATCTGTGTTCTGTTTTATGTTTAAAATATTGATTTCTTAATTTTGGGTTAGAAAAGTGTGAAGGGGTCTTATACATGGGGGTGCCTTATACAAAGAAAAATGTGGTGTACCCAGATGGAAAGCAAACAAGATCCTCAGTACATAAATCTTTTTTGCTTTGGCAGTTTGGAGGTCAAGAATACAAAATCCCAAACTTGCAATCAGGGACTTGCCTTCTTACTTGTGGTCCAGTCTGGCCCAAGATATTTTGCTGCTTGAAGCAAAATACGAAATGGCATACTCCTTCCTATTCCACAAACAGAAACTGACTGGTTTGGCAACTGAATCTTAAGTTTTATTCCTGAATTAGCAGGTAGCCTGGCTCTGTGACCTTTGAGATCCCTTTCAGCCCTGCAGTCCTATGATTCTACTTTGGGGGTAGAACAGCAGACCAATTTTTGGCAGTACAGGGCAGGCTGGTGGGTGTTGGCAGTATTTTTCTATTAGCTTTGCTCTAGTGGAGAAGTATATTCATTCCATATAGACTCTGTCAGGGTTGCTAACCCTACAATGTGCTTTCATGCCTAGTGGAGCCAATAGCTTTTTACATGTATTTTGCCAAACTTATAAAAACATCTGTTTGACTTGAAGTAACCTCTAATAGGCATGCAGTCCACTGCTGTTCCAATCTCCATTTTATTATTGCATCTCACTTTTCCAGGGTTGCAATTCTAATGCCCCCTTAATTATCTTTGCTTAAAGGGCCCAGAGAGAATTGAAAGGCTGTCACCTCTGCCCAGCCTTTCTTGTCTGAGATGGCCATCTTATTCTCTCTTATTGTGAGATCTTATGAATAGTCTTTGCATTGCTGTTATATAGCAACATTAGCCATTCAAGGTCATTGGGTGGGATAAAAATATGACAAATTGCTGAGTCAGCTATGAAAACACAAAAATCCTCAGCTTTAAAATGAAGTGCCCACCATATCCCTGCTATTACCTGATGCCCATTTTAAAGAAAAAGAAAAACAACAACAATGCCCTGATATTTCATTCATTTTTTAAAGAAGTGATCCAATGGCTAAATCCTGTTGCTCAGCATAGTAAACTGCAGTAGAGTATGTCCAGTGGGGATTTAGTGAGTCAAATCCTTTGTTCCATTTATTCAAGTGGGTTGTGATTTGCTATGATAAAGTAAGTCAAAACCAAAGTAAGCACATTTGAATCAGTGGAATATATGGAGGAGTTGGCTCACTAAATTCCCACTGATTCAATGGGCCTGATCTAGTGAAATTTACTATGCTAAGCAACAGGATGTGCAATGAAAGTGCTCATGATCAAAGCTGGGATCAAGGCCATATACCATTTCTAAACATGCAACCCAGAGGATTTCAAAATCTTTTGAAAACATTCAGCTCTCATGTGCCTCATTGTCCTCCCAGACATCAGAGGCATTTCCACCTGTTTTCCAAGCTGGGAGATTTAGTGAGAAAACACAAAATACCTCTCACATACATGTCCGTTCTCCCTCTTTTTTGCTTTCATGCTTTCCTTCTTCTTCATTATAGATTCATTTATCACAGATTTAAAACACTGAATGTCAGCTACTCCATAGTCTTTTATAGTGTGATTTGATTTTTATAATGTGACTTGATTATTCTTTGACTTGGTACATAAGAACAGGTGATTCATTTATTTTACTTTGGTTTTTGTTTGTTTGTTTGTTTGTTTACTGCACTCTATGCTACTTGTCTTTGGGCACTGGGACTCAAGGTAGTTTATATGATTTATAATGTATACACACTTTCCTGCTTTGCCTGCTTTCTCTCCATTACCTTCACCATCACCCTTTCCATTTCTGAGTAGAACTTGCAAAGTAGGAGGAAAGCCCTGTCCAGAGTGTAAAGAATTCTAGTATAGTATAAGTCTTATTCTGGACCCCACTCCTAATGTAATCTCGCTATACGGGGCACCACTGTATATTATAACTCTTATTCTGGACCCCACTCCTAATGTAACAGACAGCGGGAGAAGCAGACAGACCTGATGACCCTTAATCTTTCCTTGATAAGTGACCTATTCTATAGGCCTTGCTTATTACTCACCACTGTATTTGTGCAGGGGCCCCCAAGAGGCACTAGGCATAGCAATAATTTCACCACTCCTCTGAGAACGGAAACCACTGCAGCTCTGTTTGAATAAAATGCATGGACATGGATTGGCATTTTTAAAAAAATCAATGTAAAATGTTTAGACACATATACTAGAAAGTTAAAGACAGTTGCAGTACTTTGCATTATACATGTCCGCAATCTCTTACCTGACCAATGAGGTACTCTTCTTTCAAATTACAATCTTATAACCCAATTAGATGGACTGTAGAGCGGCAAATGAAACACTACAGCTAGCACACCCTTAACAGAAATTAATTCATTAACACTTAAGTGACACAATCCTCTCCTAGTCATTGGTATGAGCAGGCAGATTGTGAACTAATACAGCATATAATTCCTGACATAATGACAACACAAAACTAGGTAAAAATTTTTAAAAAGCTCATGATTATGATCAAACTGATTTTAATACTTAATGAATTGCCATGGTTAACAATGAGTGTTCTGTGGCATCCATTCTGGCTATTTTAGGTACAACCCTATATATGTTATCCTCACAACTAGTCCCCACTGAATTCAGTGAGCGTTTTCACCCATATAACTGTGCATAGAATTACAGACTTAAATACGAGTAGACACCACTGTTGACTTAAGGGAAGACATCTTATATTTGCTCTGAGAAAACTGACAGCAGCAAAAGCGATACCATCAGAACACCACTGGGAGCGATCTTCCTTCTCTGAAGCTCCTTGTTAACACAGCAAGGGCCTCCACAGTGGTAGAACTCCTACTGACAGGAGGACGGTCAGACACTAACCTGCTCAGCAAGCAAGACTGAACAATTAAGGTTACATTTAGTACATCAGTCATCCAAAATATTGCTGTGGACCCAAGCTAGGGGGGAAAACATATTCCTTAAATCAGAGTCTCCTGTAGCTCAAAACATTTTCAAACAGCAATCTAAGTAGCTTTCTCTAAGGGCAAAGGGGACTTAAGAGTGTGGGACTTTGTAAGAGGTATTGTGCAACCAGAGAATTTCCTTCCTGGTTAACCACTGGATTGCCACAAGTTTCTTTTTCTGTACCTGTACTTTTTATATCATCTGCATGCAGTTTTCTTCCCACATCCAACTAATTCCTTTAAAACCATTATTTGTCACCCAGGTGTTATGCATCTATTTGGATGATATTTAGTCTCCTTGAAATATGACTATTAGGTATTCCAAACAATAATATAACAATTAGTTTCATGCAGTATAACCACTTTCAGTAGTAAATCCTCCACAATGAAATGCACTCATACAAATAAATACAAGTCTGTTATATATGCACAGGACTTGCGTGTGATGTTCCATATAATGGCTATTGTACCCCATTTTTAAGTTTCAGTCTAGATAAACAGATAGATAGACAGACAGACAGAAAGACAGAGACAGACAGACAGAGTTTTACTTTAAGAAGATATCTTCAATAATTTCATAGACAAGGCATAATTCTAGATGAAGACTGTAAATTGATCGTTCAATGCCTGAGGCTAGGATCCAATTAAGGCCTTGAGCTTATAGAACTTCCCTTTTCTAGTTTCACAGAAGGAGGTATCTGATAGCTCCCATCTGCCAGCCAGTCTCTCCTCCGCTCCTCCTCCCCCTCCTCCAGAATTCTCTTTCCCCTCTTGCATGCCTATTCTCGGCAATTAGTTGCTGCTGCCTGGAACTGTTGAACTGCATCTAGGCCTGTATTTTTTGACACTTCCTAGAAGAAAGTATTTCATATTATTCATTTATTTTAGTGAGAAAGACCTGCATCACTTTTCAAAAATTACAACCTGGTTTACAATACTGCCGTTTTAGAATCACAAAGTGCAATGTAAATAAAGGAATAAATCAATTATAAAAATTGATTAACAATGAAATATTTGACTAAAGTCAGTAGGGATATGTCTTACATGTTATCTTAGTAATATTTTTCAGGAATTCTGCAAAACATAAGAATCCTTCTTTAATACAATGTAAACAGTAATTTCCTCAGCACCATATGGATTTCACTGGCACCTAAAGACTTCAATAAAGATCAGTGTTTATTATGTTTATTCATATCTAATAAAGGGTTCTGCCAAGGTCTAGCTTTGTATTTTGGAAGTTATTGTTTAAGCCACTGACCTTTTGTAAGATAAGGAAGCTCAGAGATAGTTTGTTTGTTTATTTATTTATTTATTTATTTATTTATTTATTTATTTATTTATTTATTTATTTATTTATTTCCCACCCATCTGGTCTATACGACCACTCTAGGCGGCTGTTAAGTGCAAGGAGCCAAAGCAGAAAAGGAAGGAAATACAAAGAGGATTTAAAGAGAATCTTAAGACTTTGTAAGAGGTATTCTACAACTAAATATATCTCATTATTATTATTTTTCCCCTTTGGGTTGCCCACTGGCCTGCCACAAGTTTCTTTTCCTGCACATATCCTTTGTATATTATCTGCATGAAATTTTCTTCCAAAACCCTACTTTCTTATTCATTCTACTTAAAACCATTAGAGTAGAACCACTGTATTTGTAGAATCAGTACCCATGGTTTCATTTATCTTTTCCCTGGAAATATTAAATTTTTTTTTAAAAAAACTCCCAGAAATATGTGTTTCCAAGATGTATTGCAAGATGTATGGCCACTAGAGGGAACTAGAGACTATGCTATATATATATGGTTTGCTATATCTGTGATTTCTGGAATTTATGGGAGGGGGATGCTTGGAACTGATCACTCACGGAAGCTGTGGTCCTGCTGCAATTGTGACCTAGGTTTTATGCATACACTTAGATGAGATTCAGTTTCCTGAATAACAAACTTATATTAGATATACATTACACATTAGCTAATTCCTACTTCTTGCCCATATAATATACCTGTGCTTAATCCCTATCCATAAAATACCATTTAATATATACCCAAAACCTGGCTGGATAGCTCAGTGGTTTAGGTATCTGGCTGCAGAGCTGGAGGTTGGGAGTATTTATTTCCCACTATGCTTCCAAGGAGAAGACTCATCCTGTGTGGCCTTGGGCGAGCTGCACAGTCCCAGAGCGCCCCCAGAAGAAGGGAATGGTCAACCACTTCTGAGTACTCTCTCCCTAAAAAGCCCTGGGAAGGGTCACCATAAGTCAGAATTAGAGATGGGGGCTTCATATTTGTAGACTAATAAAAAGCCCACCAGGACAGGTGGCCAGCCTGATTAACCCCCCCCCCCCCGAACCTGCTAGACCATGTACTGCATGTCAGATGGCACGTGTAAAGGTAAAGGTAAAGGTTACCCTTGACAATTTTTGTCCAGCCGTGTCCGACTTTAGGGGACGGTGCTCACCCCCATTTCCAAGCCATAGAGCCAGCGTTTGTCCGAAGACAATCTTTCCATGGTCACATGGCCAGTGCGACTTAGACATGGAATGCTGTTACCTTCCCACCGAGGTGGTCCCTATTTATCTACTTGCGTTTGCATGCTTTCGAACCGCTAGGTTGGCGGGAGCTGGGACAAGTGACAGGCACTCATTCCGTCGTGTGGATTCGATCTTACGACTGCTGGTCTTCTGACCCTGCAGCACAGGCTTCTGCAGTTTAGCCCACAGTGCCACCACGTCCCTAGATGGCTTGTGTAGCTGGCATCATCTCCAGCGCTCCAGTCGGGGCAGTAGCCCAGCTGACGCAGTCCTGCCTTTCCTGCTCACTCGGCCACTTCAGCAAGGGGGTGGGAGGATGAGTCTGCCTGCTCAACTGCGGAGTAGCCAGTTAATAAGGGAGGTGAGTTTGTGGCAGCCAGGCTACTGCCACAATTGGGGCATTGAAGATGACTCTGGCCACATGTGCTGCACAGTAAGTGATCTGGTGGGGTCTAGGGGTGTATTTTAATTGGGCTGGCCACCTGTGCCGGTGGGTTTCATAGTCACCTACCAATTCAAAGCCCACATCTCTAGTCGTTATAATTACATCCAAACCCAGGGTTTTCACCTAAATCTTCTATATCTAACTAAAAGGGGGGGGAACACTAGCAAGATGAGAAGCGTAGTTGTCACTCCAGAGACAGGCAATAATGGAAGTTAACAGGAAGACTGCTTACCGCCTTGCAAGTCCTTCCAGGAACTTCCACACAGACATGGATTTTGCAATGCAAGTAAACCACCGAATTGTTGATGAAAGAGAAAATCTTCAGCTTAAACTGGGCTTTTCTGAACATCCCATTTGAAACTATGGTGGTGTGCGTTTTTGGAACTGGACAGCTAAAAAGAGAAATATCAGTAAAATAATTAGAGAAGGACAGGATCCGATAAGGATTGCAACAAAAAGCCACTGCCACTGCTGCAGCAAGTGTTATTAACCAATTTGCTATAGACATGTATAGATTAAAAATTCCAATTAGGTTCACAGTACTCTTGTGATCTATGTGATGGATATCCATATTAACCCTAACCTCTTCTTTTTCTTCAGTCTGATTATCAAAACATGAAATGGTTTGAACCCTCCAAAGCACTACACAAATGGTAAATATTAAGTAGGTATTTACATTTGCAGCATGTAAGTATTTGCAAATGTAAGCAATTTGAAGTATTTATGTTATGTAGTTATATAGGCAATGTTTTGACTTCCCAGTGTGGTACAGTGGATTGAGTGACAAATCAGGACTCAAGACATCAGGGTCTGCTGAGCCATATAAACTCACTGAGGGGGTGGAACTGGTAAAGCCACTTCTTAAACATACAGTGGGGTCTTGACTTGAGAACTTAATCCGTATTGGAAGGCAGTTCTCAAGTCAAAAAGTCTGTAGGTCAAGTCTCCATTGACCTACAGTGCATTGAAAACCGATTAATCCCGTAACAGGCCATTTTTGTTCCACTTTGGTTTTTTTCTGGTCTGTAAGTCAATTCTCAGGCTGCAAGTCAAACCTAAATTTTACAGCCAGAGAAGTCTGTAACTCAAAAAGTCTGTAAGTCAAGCCGTCTGTAAGTCAAGGGTCCACTTGTATCACTTGAGAGCCCTATTAAATCAGTTTTCAACTTGATGCACATAACACTCACATAGGTGATCTTTACAACAAGCATTTAACGCAGATTAGTATAATTAGGTAAAGGTTCCCTTGACATTTAGTCCAGTTGTGTTTGACTCTAGGGGGCGGTGCTTATCCCCATTTCCAAGCCATAGAGCCAGTGTTTGTCCGAAGACAGTTTCCGTGGTCACATGGCCAGCGCGACTAGACACGGAATGCCGCTACCTTCCCACAGAGGTGGTACCTATTTATCTAATTACCTATCAGATAAAGAAACAGTGGGCTGAAGCTAAGAAATAAATGTCTGGTATTCTGTTTATAGGGGATTGTGTTTCCCCTTCTTCTCCTCTTCCCAACTCACAGCCTCACCAATCTCTGCACAATTGGGTACATGGCTAGTCACATGGCTGACCACACAAAGCAGAGCTAATGACAGAGAGAAGCAACTGTAGACATGCAGGGTTTTTTTCAACAAGATTTCAGCCACTGACTTGTATAAGACCAGTAGGACAATGTGTTACAATTAATTTACTGCTTGCAACCAGGTGGAGCCATTTAGAAAATGACAACATACAATTGTGCTTTGAGAGATGCCTATGGCTGTCAATGTTGTGAGTATATGCATATTTTGAGTTGAAGAACTGTTGAAATAAATACTAGGAAGTTGTAAATTGGAATTACAATACTGTATATATATAATTTTTTATACTGGCTTATGAAGTACTGTTTGAGAATGATAGCTTCAATCTACTACACATACTAGTCATAGGGCACAACTGGTTTTTGTACTTTTCATTCAGTATATAACATTGACTTTTGACATTGGCTTCATGAGCTCACAATGACAGCAAAGGTCAGATTTTCCAGAGATGAAAGGAAAGAATGCCCTCAGATAATCTGTAGACTCAAAGAAGTTCTCCCACCACTGAAGACTCATAATCAGAGGTTTCACTCAGTGAAAATGGACCAGTCCTACTTCACCAGCAAAACACAACATGAGATGAGGTTGGTCCACATTCTGTTCCATTGCAATAGCCAGTATCCAGACCTGGATCCCCAGGATTGTCTTTCATCCCCAATCAAAAGTATTTGCATGCCATGCTACCTACATGTTGTTTTCTTGCCCACCTTGTTAGCATGCCCCTACATTGTTCACAATGATATATGTTGCCCCACTCACTGTATCTTAGCTTGCAGTGTCAAACGTTCCACAACAACACGATTTACCTGCCATGTATAAAAGGAAATGACAGAGGATCCATTGAATTATTCGTAGGAGTTGCCCAACATTCACCAACAACCACCTTGAGTTTGCTATCTTCTGTATGAATTCCCACCTCAATCATTATGTCATCACTAGCAGAGATGCTGAAATTTTGGGGGATTTGTGAGTTTCCAACAAACAACTGCATTTCTGTTAAGAAATGTCCTGATCCATGCAAATCCTCAAACATGGTGTAAATGCTGCAAAAGAATCAATTGTTATTAATAGTTATGGCATATTTTTATAGGCTGTGCTCCTTTATTCAATGTGTGTACAGTATCAGTACTACTGCTAGATATTATAAAGACTGATGTGTGACTCTGCACCATTCTGAGCCAATGGAATGTAATTATATAACCACTTTCTTCTTTTGCACAGCCCAGAATACAAAGAATTGAAGGCCCACAGTCAATGGACATCAGCAAACGATTATCATCAAAGGGAATGTTAGCTATAGAAAGAGATTTATTTATGATAATGTCATCAACCAGTTGAAACAGATTTTCCTCTTTTATTTTTTTATTTTATTTTACTGAACATTACTATTCCCTTTTCTTCCACAATCCTTTTTCCTCCTTAGAATTACTTGTTTGATCCTTTCTGTAATCTGGACATTCTTGGACTGAAATCCCCAGAAGCTTTCACCAGCAGCTGCACTGGGGGAGTTGCAGTCCAAGACTACCTGGGGAACACAAGGCTAATAACCACTGCTATAGGGCAATCCCTCAGGTTGGATACATTGTAGGCAAGTTCCAGTTATACACAAGCAATACTCTTCAAGCATAAGGGATGTGTGCGTGTGATACAAAGTGCATTAAAAGGAGCCTTGTGGCACAGTGTTAAATTGTAATACTGCAGCCAAAACTCTGCTCACAACCTGGGTTCAATTCCAGGGAGCCAGCTCAAGGTTCACTCAGCCTTCCATCCTTCTGTGGTTGGTAAATTGAATACCCAGCTTGCAGGTGTGGGAAATGTGTAGCTTACATCAGAGATCCCCAACCCCCAGTTCGCGACCCAGCAGCAATTTGTGGCCTAGGCAGGACCAGGCCGTGGACACAGATCTCCTGCCCCCCGAGTGCCTCCCCTGCGAGCATGCCACACACATGTGCATGAGCAGGACACAGATCTCCTGCCCCCCCACGAGTGCCTCCCCTGCGAGCATGCCACATGCATGTGCATGAGCGCACCATGCCCACACAAGCGTGCCACACCCCCTCAACCGGTTTGTGGTTGGGAAAAGGCTGGGGACCTCTGGCTTACATAATTAAATTGTAAACTGCCCAGAGAGTGCAAAATCTAAAATGAAAATCAGCTTTCAGTGTTATCTTCTCTTTCCCTGAGAAGAGTGCTACCCTTTCACAAGGTGCTACCCTGTTTCCCCAAAAAATAAGACCTAACCTGAAAATGAGCCCTAGTATGATTTTTCAGGATGCTCGTAATATAAGCCCTAACCCAAAAATAAGTCCCAGTTAAGTGAAACCCCGCCCTCCACCATTGTGTAGCAACTGGAAGAAGATGGCATGACTGTATTTGAATAAATGTAGATTGTTGTACATGAAAAAAAAAGCATCCCCTGAAAATAAGCCCTCATGCATTTTTGGAGCAAAAATTAATATAAGACATTTCCTTATTTTTGGGGAAACACAGTACTAGGCTCTATTTAGGGGGTTCATAATAATTGTTATAATAATGTATAACCAGAGTATAACCAAAGTACTTAGGAAAAAATATTATTTACTGAAGTTCTATTTACCCTTCTGGAGTATATCCAGATGAAGCTAAGAGATCATTCTGAAACACACAATGAACTGGAACAGCAAGGCTGAAATGGTGGATGACACCCAGGGAAGAAGATGTGTCATTCCGGATAATTGTTTTGAGGATAGTGTGTGTTGTATTCTGAAAAATAAATGAAACAGAATTTTTGTTCATAGTAAGCGTGGAGAAGTATAGCACTCTTGATGTCGTGGGACTGTGACTCTCACAGTATATTATTATTATGCACAGTTCTACACTTTCAGAGCACTGATATGAAATATAGGTATGGACCTTTAATGCTGAAGGTGCCAGCATCTGTATACGGACATGATTAAAGAGCCAGCATGTGCAGTAGCTTCATGCAGTCCTTGCAAGTCCAAGAACTGGAAAATGAGGCTTAGAAAGGCAGCAGATCTGAACTTGCGCTTTCTGTGTCAGGCCACAATACAGGCTTGTCATTGACTATTTTCTATTAAAAAAAATATGTAGCTCTAATAAGACATAATCATTGCTATTATCTTTAAGAGTTCAAACGGACCAAAGGTGATTGTATCTATACACAGCACACTGAACAATGGCATACATTTATTGGTATTAAATAATAATCAAACTGGATAACAATTGCTACTTCTGATCTCAATTATAGAGCCCACATTGCTATTTCTATGTAAGCCCAAGGAAATTAAGAAGAATTCTATTATGGTTTCATACCCAAAATGACTAAGTAACTTTCATATTATTAGAAGAAAAGATATCTCATTCAGTAACCTAAATTTGCAACATTGCAGTTTTTCTTAAAGATAAAATGTATTTATATTTGTTCATTTACTAACATGTTCGCATCCCACTTTATACCTAAAGATCTCTGAGCCATGAACAAGCAATTCAACGTAAAATTTTAACAATTTAAAACAGAATATAAAACGGTTGAAGAAAACCATAATAAAAATAGGGCTGCAAATCTAATAGATCGAAAAGCAAGCCAGATAAAGAAGGCCAAATTCTTGAATAAACTGATAGAAGTTATTTGAAGCCAAAAAGAAGCCAAAATTGCACAAAGGGCTTTCATCCTTCGGTGTTCTTAAGGTATCTCCATCTTTCCTCCAATAGTAGTTACAGCTGGAGCAGGGGCGGGGTGCAGAATGAATCAGAAGCCTGTGAGAAATATTTCAATAACGCATGACTCTTACTTACTGTATCAACTTGACCCGGGGTGCAGAATGAATCAGAAGCCTGTGACTCTTACTTACTGTACTGTATCAACTTGACCACTGTTTTTATTAAATACTGTTTAGTTAAATCCCACAAAACTTTCTCCTCAGAACTCAAGATGACTTACACTTTGCACTTCAGTTCCACATTCATTCCATCCTGTCCAAAGCACAACATGACTGGAATTACTTTTTCTCCCACTGCAGTGGGGCCTCCCCAGGGACAATGAAGATTCTGAGATAGACTGGTTCTGTAGAAAGCCCTTCTGGATGGTGACGACAATTTTTTCAATTTCACAGAACACTTGAACTTCATTCTTAATTGAAAGCTTAGTGAATGACAAAGATGGAACTTGAGGTGAAGTTTTGTTTGCTACTGCCTCTGTAGATGTTGTATCAACTGTAATGCCCATGGTTGAGTCTTTTAAAGTTTGGGCAGAAGAATTCTTTGAAACAGGGGACGACACTTGGTTTGAAGTATATGGATGCATCAAAGGCAAAACAGTGCTATTCCAGTCCTTTGCCTGAGTATTTCCAGCATCATGGCTTGAAAGAACTGCTACAAAGTGGAGAATGGTACATTGAAAACTGTATTTTGTAATTAATTTTCTTTAAAAGAATAAGCTAAAAGACAATATCAATGAATGAAGAAAATGGGTTTATGTGCAACTGGCATCTTGTCAGATTCACATGCGAAAGTGTAAATCCTGAAGAGATTACTGGTCTTTGCTTTGGTTATACCCTTCCCCCATCCCAACCTCAGTACTGTTCAGGAGTCCAGGGAATCTGGATAGCAAAAATGTGTACTACTTGTACACAGGTTCTTTCCTGCATTACTGAATGCATCTCATTATTGCCTGAACATCCAGAACATAATCTGAGGCAACAGTTTAAGGCACAGAACAAGTCAGCGCTTGAACTGTGTGATATTCTTCCTTCATTGCAACAGTTTAAGGCACAGAACAAGTCAGCACTTGAACTGTGTGATATTCCTCCATCATTTGGTGAGGCCAGGACATTTTGGAAACTGCTCATTTATACGGTCTCAGTAAAAGTCATAAGCGACCTGAGGACATTTTGGAAACTGCTCATTTATAGGGTCTCAGTAAAAGTCATAAGCGACCTAATGGCACATAACAACAAGCCATGTACCTTTAAATGTAATTATAAGTATTAAAGGACAGAAATCTTTTTTGTTCAGTTTGACTAGTAACATGCATTTACTATAGGAAAAAATGATTAATTTCAATTAATTAGTTATTTGTAACTAGTAAACTCCAAGCCTTGCACTAAGCAGAGTGAAGCAGGCACCTTAGACCGCAGATTTAGGAGGTCAAGAGCAGCAAATTGTTGCCTGTATAATTGCTTTTTTATCCACCATTAGGTGGTTTTCTCAGATTTTTGAAATAAATTATTGCCAAATGTTTGTTGACAAGCTCAGTCACACAGTTCGATGCTTATCAGATTAAGACAAGTGAAGGCAAAACGCTGTACTGCATTGCCAAATGTTTGTTGACAAGCTCAGTCGCACAGTTCGATGCTTATCGGATTAAGACAAGTGAAGGCAAAAATTTACAATGAGTATATTAACAGAGAATTTCAAAGACTAAAATGTAGATGGTCATCTGCCATTAATTTATATCAGGGCTAATCCAGTGTAACTGTTCCTGAAAGCCATATGTAGTGGTAAATTATGCCTAAATTAGGGTCACTACACATGTTGTCATGGAGGAGTCTTGTGTCAGCCTCAGAAAATACACTGTCAACAGGGAAGGGGTGGACTTAAGGCTAAAATGGAAGTTCCAACTAAGATGAATCTGGTGTTTGGGGATAAGGTGAAACAGAAGGACTTGGAAGATAAAAAAAGGCTAGCAAATGAGAATACAAAATGTTAAACAAAACTGCTCCAAAAACAGGACCTTATAAAGCAATGTAACATAGGTATTCTGCTTTTTATTAGGCAAGACTCCAATGCCCAGTTCCTGGGGATCTATACCTATTTAGTTGATCCAGAAAGAGTTTACTTCAATTCTTTGTGGAATTTATAACATCTGCTGCCGGGATTCCAGAGGCTGTGCTATAACTAATACACCCCACTCCCACCCACCCCATGGTGAAGGTAGGGTGATGTTTTCATGAATGTTAGAAAATCAGAGATAAAATTAAATGAAAATATTGAAAGATTTGCCTTCACAGAGTCTTCCATGTCTCTCAGCATTTACATTGATAAATCCTTCTTTGCAGCTGCATTTATAGGATCCATATGTATTATAGCATGATGCATCAGGAGAGCAATCTGTTTCTTCTTTATCACACTCATTATAATCTGGAAAAGATTAACAGTGCATCAGTATATCTATCTATCTATCTATCTATCTATCTATCTATCTATCTATCTATCTATCTATCTATCTATCTATCTATCTATCTATCTATCTATCTATCTCAACACTGGCTTTGTAAAACTGAATGTTATAGTTGGTAACATTCATATCTATGCCATTAAAAAAACCCCTTCTGAGGTCATTGTATACTAGTCTTAAACTGCTCTAGAAAAGAAGAGCTTTGATCCATTCTGCCACATGGACCTGTACCATTCACAACTATTTCTGAAAGATAGCAGCTCTGTGCCATAGCCTTAATAGCTGCATACACTTGAAGATGCTGGAGGAACATCCACTATGTGTGCAAGTTTTCATGAATTATACCTTTTACACTGACAGCATCCTGAGATGAGTTGCCATCTGGCTACAATCCTACACACAATCACTTGAGAATAAGCCTCAATGAAGACACTGAACCCGAAAAAGACTTTGTTCTAAGTAAATATTTATATTTTAAAGATACTTATTCTCCACTGTCACTAGGAGAAGAGGAGAAACTAGACTGGGAAGGTCAGAGTAGAGGACAAGAGTATAGGATGTGAATAGAAACCACCTGGAAGATCCTCACTGTGACAGCAGAAAGGCTAAGGCTAACCTGACGTCTGGGAGGACTGACATTCATTACAATGCTAGTGGTACAGTTGGATTAAACATCAATTGTTTTACTTCTGAAATGATGAACCACACATTTTACTTTCTGCAATAAATAGGTGAAATCTCAGTAGGAACACTCAAGCCCTCTAATGGTTTGGAGTCAACATTATGAGATACCACATCTGAACTCCAACATTTATAATTTTGCAGGAATAGAGAAATTACAGAAAGAAGTTACAATTTACCATGTATGGAGAGACTGGTGTTGTCAATAATGAAACGGTTGCTGTGTCGAAAGGCATCAAGAAAAGACCAGGAAACATTGCTTGCATCCATGTCTTCAGGAATCAGGAGACTAAAGCTTACCATTATGCTTCCATTGGTAATATTCATTATCAACATCCTAATCATATCAGCATCCATTTTCTGAAGAATGTTAAGGGGCAGAAATGTGCGGACCTGTTACCAAAACAGAATGCACATATTCTATGAACTTGAGTACTAAACAATCATTTGAAATGGTGTGTTTTGTAGGGATGTAGATACCTTAGCACATCAAACATTGGGGTCTGCTTAATACTGTACTTTGATTAAGAACTACAGAAAATTCAGAAAAGGGTGTGATCCTGCATTGGGTAAGTAAGCCACTGACACACTATTCTTTCTCAGCTTCACTTTTGAACTGGATAAATGTCAACACTTACTCTATTATTTTTTATAAATAAAAAAAATCAGTGACAGAAATAGCACAATATTCTACTTTTCACTGAGGTGTACATCACTTGATAACTCTCAGGTGAATGCATGAGCATTCACTATTAAAAAACTATTGTTATAAGGAATGGGAGGCAACAAAAAGCTACTCCTTACATCTATGCATGCACTGAATGCAAAAGGAGCAGGATGATGCCCAATGAAAAAAAAAATTTCTAGAGTTTGTATGATTAGTATGTGTTAAGAACAAGTTTAATGTATGTACACCTGTATCTGAGTGTACATATTCTATACTCATTTACAGGTACCTTAGCTGGACCTGCATAAATCCCATTCACACTTGCAGTTAAGGCAAAAGTGGGCAAAGAGTAGACCTGCAGATGTTGTTCCACTAAAACTCCAAGCACTCTTGACTACTGCCTGGAGTGACAAGAGATGTAGTGCGACATTTGGAAGACTGCACCTTCCCTGTCCCTAATCAAGGAGCTGAAATGAGGCAATAGGATGCACAGAGGTTGGGCAGGGGAAACAGTCAGAATCCCCCTCTGCCTCCACCTGTTTAGAAGACCTAGGACTATTAAGGGAAACATAGGGCTCAGCTCTCCCTATTTCAGCTCTCATATTTCTGAGCCCTTATCTATATTTGATGTTATAGATCTATATACACCAAGATTTTACCTACAGATTATAATTTCTTCTCCCCCATCAATATAATCAACAAATCATCAACCAGTTTAAGCCCCACACCCAAAATTATACCAGATAAGTAAATAGACAAACATATATGTTCTGTACAAAAATGCATTTCCCCACATTTTCATATCCACATACCTCAGTGAGAAACATCTGTGTAAAATTTTGGAATAGTTCATGACTGCAGTTACTTAACTCTGGACTATAGTTCAGATTTGTTATCTTGACTGTCCCATTAAATTTTTGGCCAGCTGTAAGATGGGGGGGGGGAATTCCAACATTATTAGTATGAAATGTGTTAATCAGGATGCAGTTTGCATTCTAGGAAGGTTCTGATAAGTTGTTGGACCTCTTTCGGAACCCAAATGACAAAACTGAATATAAATAATATATTAAAACAACTGAAGGAGTAAGATCTGTTACTTTCAACGTTCTGCATTTGTAAAAGGGAAAGATTGTACAGTATCAGTAATACATGCTGTTGTCAAAACATTCACTCCTTGGATGGGCAGTAAATGCAGAAACGCATACAATGCAAAAACTAGGCTAAGGTCATTTGCTCATATTTAAGAGTCAACTATAAATGTGGTCCCTTCTTTCATGGGCTTCTAGTACTGTGCTTCCCCAAAAATAAGACAGGGTCTTTTATTAATTTTTGCTCCAAAAAACACATTAGGTCTTATTTTCAGGTGATGTTTTATTTTATAGTCATGTCATCTTCTGGTTGCTGCACAATGCTGAACTATGGTGGAGGGTGGGGTTACACTTAACTGGGGCTTACTTTTAGGGCTAGGGCTTATATTACGAGCATCCTGGAAAAAAATCATACTAGGGCTTATTTTCAGGTTAGGTCTTATTTTTGGGGAAACAGGGTATGCTAGGTTCATAAAGAATTACTATGGCTTCTGCTGTAGTTTTTGGGGTTAATTTACTAATTAATTTACTAATTAATTTAATTAGCAAATTAATTTTACTAAATTAATTAGTAAAATTAATTTACTAATAACAATAGTAAATTGTTACTATACCTGTCATTACTTTATGCTGTACAGGTTCACTTTTCTTTCCACAAACCTCTGTCTTAATTTCAACAGTGTACAAAATTCCAGGTTTTAGTCTAGTAATTGTGAGGTTATTGCTCTGTGTTTTAACCTCCCGTAGAACCTGTTTTCCCTCAAAGAGCCGAAACTGGAAAACAGGATTCAGTAGAAAATGTGTGGTCCACTTCACTTCAAAGCTGGTACTGGTTACACCGGAGAACAAAATTCTTTCTACTGGAAGAGGTACTAAGAGGGAAAAAGATAAAAATTAAAACTTTGAATGGAAGGAAGCAAAGTTTCTGATCTCAGAACCTGTGTCATTTCTTATGTTCATGTATTTCTTGTTAATTAAAAAATACCTGTACCGCTATTTGGAACTACTGGTAAAAAATTAACAAATTCACTAAAAATGGCCAGAAATTACCCCGGCCCCAAAGTAACATTTTAAAAAAACAAGTAAATGTTACTTACTGAGCAACAACAGAAATATTGATCATTTTTGTTAAAACAGTTTAAAGTAAGTTTAGCTGTTGTTGCTCTAAAAATTAACATATTAATTCCAACAGTGTACAAAATAAAGGTGATACTTTTAATGTTTTATTTTCAGAAGAATTAGTTCAGATTATCGGATTAGACTCAGATTAACCTTGCTAAATCCTCATACACAGCTGCAGTTGAGGTTCTTCTCAAGGTGTGTTCCATCTGTTGCATGACAAGATGGAGAACTCTCCTTGTTGTGGGACTCTGCCTGTGGAATATCCTCTCCACAGAGGGGTGGATAGGCTCACCTTAAAATCATTCTGCTGCTACTGTAGGCCCAAGCTTTTCTGTTTATCCAAATAATTTAAACGAGTCAGTTTGTTTTATAAGCCTCTTTGGTGCCATTTTTACTCTCTCACATTGCTTTTATTACATTTAATAATGTTTTACCACATGCCATTGTTTTCATTACATTTATAAGGGACAAATCTGTTCTGCCCTTTATTCATTCTCTTGCATTCTTGCATATTCACGATCTCTTTTTCTTCATACCAACCTAGTACTTTCAAGGAAAGTTGTGACATAACTGCAGACTTACTGCCACAGCCTGTTGTGTGCTCCTTATAAGATAACTGTAAGACTTCAGATAATTTCTTCTCAGACCAAGATCTGTTATCTTTTTCCATCTCTTTATCAAGGGTATAGTTCAGTGCATGAACTTTGGGATGCTTGGTTACATTCATATCTTGAACTTTCTGAGAACTTCTCTCAGTTAAAAAGTTAGGTGTGCTTTTCTCTTGTTCAGGCCCATTTCTCACAAAAGGAAAACTGGTAGGATATGAAACTCCAAGTATCATGGGCAATGAAGAATTGTCTTTTTCTGGTGCTGTTGATAGTCTCTCCACTTCTAAGCTCTGCTGTGTTGCAGTGACAGTGCCACCATCTTCTGCCACCAGAGTTGTTGTTTCTGAAATATTCAGGGTGTTATTATTTCTGGCATATTCTGAAATATTTGTTCTCTGGGATCCTGACACCATTTTCTCTTTCAGGAAATGGGTTGATTCTTGGGTACCACCAGTGGGTACTATTATTGTCTCAGTAGACTGAGAAGGGAAGGGAGTCACTCTTCTTTTTTCTGCCACTGATACAGGAGTGGCACTTATCCTTGGCAGTCCATCCGTACCGTTTGCTTCTGACATTGGCACCATTTCAGTAACAGGATCCACAATTTCCCCTGGAAAGCAGCATTTTGCAATACAAAAGTAGCTTGTGAGTGATTATTTCTTGGCAAACCATTAAAACAAAGCTACTTTACTAACTACTAAGGAGCCTCATGGCGCAGTGGTTAAACTGCTGCACTGCAGCCAAAACCATGCTTGCAACTAGAGATGGGAGTATTTATATGCAAATACAAATACGCCCCCGCACAGGTGGACATAACAAGGGTCCAGCCCCATGGAGTCAGATGGTCCACTTACCAATCTGCTGCTGCCTCAACCTCTGCGGAGCCTTCCAATGGCTCTGAGGATTGTGTGCGGCTTGCCACTCCTGGCAGGAGGCGGGACAAGAAGCTTCTCTCCTAGGTCGAAGAGTGGCTCGCCAAACACAATCTCTGGAGCCATTGGAAGGCTTCGCAGAGGTCGCAGCAGTGGCGGATTGGTGAGTGGACTGTCCAGCCCCATGGGGCTGGGCCCTTGTTATGTCCACTGTCCAGCCCCATGGGGCTGGGCCCTCGTGATGTCCACTCACAACTCAGGGTTCAACCCCAGGTAGCCGGCTCAAGGTTAACTCATCCTTTCAAGGTCAGTAAAATGAGTAACCAGCATGAATCAATCAACAACAACATGTAATGAAACACTTAGTCTATTCTATGTGAAGGGGATCCATGCAGTGGAGGAACAGAGGACCGTACTATTCGATCTGCCCATGGTATTACACTTGCTGGCCCAAGTCTTCTGTCCAACTTCTTTGTGTTGAAAACAAGTTCAATTAATGAACTGACTGAAGTCTTGGAGGTTCCTCTACGTGATAAGCAGTTGTCACCAGAAGGGGCCCCCATGAGTATATAACAGAAATTTTAAACTAAATACTTATTTGAAGTCATGGCAGCAAGCAAATCCTCATATCCATCCAACATGATGTATTTTTGATTCTTACCCTCACAATTTCTCCCTTGTCGGAGCGGGTTGGCATCTGTGGTTGTCTTGCATCTGCACATATATGAGCCTAGAGTGTTGATACACTCTGCAAACCTACAACAATCATTTTCTACTCTGGATGCACATTCATTCCAGTCTATGAATAAAAAAAACCAACCAGTTCAAGATAAAACCCACAGATGAACAGGTTAACACTTACTACAATAAAAAGCCACACAGTTGTATCTTGTTTTCAAGAATCTACATCATATCCTAAATACTGTGCTGCCCAGTAGATGCCAGGGCTCATAAAATACATTTGCCACTTCCCTGCTTATAAGTGCATTTCTTTAAAAATTATGGTAAGCCCGCCAACCCGTGTTCAGAAAATGGCATAAAGCAGCCAAATCCTAGGGTCTCTCCCCCGCCCATATTCATATATATTTTAAGGTAGATATTTTTAATGGTTCACTGCCTATGAATTTGTCTGGATTTCCTAACACAGTATAATCACAAAATACACCTACAATTTCCCCCCCCACACAAACTACTACTCTCCACTCCTCAGAAAAATTCTCATTGCAGGCATTTTACTGTATATCAATTATGTACAAAGGGGATGGGGAATGTGCAGCTATCCTGATGCTGCTGGACTGCAGCATCCCTCACCACTCACTGGCTATGCTAGCAAGGGCTGAGGGGGGAATCTGTAGTCCCACAGCACCTGAAGAGACACATCAGGTTCTCTACAGACTCTCTGATGCCCTTGAATATCTCCCAGTGCATCCACTATTGTGGTGACCTTTAGTTGTACAATACAAGCAATAAGCTGGCAACTTCATCACCAATTGTATAATGAAATATACTGGTATAATCCGAACATAAACTAGAGATTTAATGAAATAGCCTACCTTCCACTAGAGAGTTCTTTGTGTCAATAACCAGTACAGAACTTTTGAAAAGGGACGAAATCATTAGCTCAAATGCCGATAGCTCTTTAGGAAATTCCAGGTCTTCTACTATGATTTTAAACTTCACAATGATACTACCAGTTCTGAAGGAATCAATCCGGACTTTCAGCTTCTCTGCTTTGTACAATGCAGACATATGTGGAGGAAATGAATTCCTAATCTGCAAGCAGATGACAGGTTTCAGCATCAAAGTACTGTACATGTTTCAAAGTGTATTGTCACCAGTGTCAAAGGATATATACATTGAATCTATCATTGACACTGTTTTTAATTTTAGTATATTTTAGTATATTTAGTGTGCAGAATTTATCAAAAAGCAGTTTTATTTCTGAGACACACCATATATGAAGCTTTGCCATTTACACAAGCAACAGACTAACACTACTCCATTTATTTGTCTAACAACAGAAATAAAATGGTGACAATTTAATAGGAATGGGGCATCCATTAATAATGAATGTCCTATAGCAAGGATAGGGAACCTCAGGCCAGGGACTGAACCTGGCCTTCCTGAGGTCCCAACGTTGCCCTCCAGGATTCCTTAAATATTCAATTTTCTCTACAATTACTTGTGAACTAGATTAAATCCTCTATTATCATTGCCCTTAATAATGCCAGGGACAAAGCTCAGCTCGTTAAATTATGTGTGATGTAGGAGCCATGTTTAAATGGCCCAAACATAGTTACATTTAATGTGGCATAATAATCGAGTTTTACATTCTCTATTTCATAAATGGTCTGATGTGAAATATTAATCTGCTTGATGGTCTAGAACCTAGTGTATGCACAGGCACTGATACTCTAGGTATCAGATTACTAGGATTGTCAGCTTTTTGTCTCCCCTGCTTTTAGCAGCTTATGAACTTGCAACCTCAACAAGGTTGTCTTGTTGTGACAAGTTTCATCAGTTGATGTCTGCATATGCTTGATCTCTTAAAGGCACAACACCAAGCTACTCTGTTTTTTTCTCTTCAGCTGGCGATCCTACAGACCACAAGGGTTTTCTCTATTACTTTAATAGAAACAGCAGATTTGTAAAAGTCACCCTCCACTGCTCCATCAAGCAGAAAACCTGAACACATAGGAGCTGCATTACTACTATATACAAGGCTGAATTCCCATCTGTTGGGACAACAAAGGGGAAGCAGTTGTAATATCTTCCTGTCTTGCTGTAAAATAAAGAAATTTTAAAAGATTTTACTAATGAGAGGAAATAATTGCATTACATTAGGAGTGAACAAGTAGGGAACTGTACTTGGGAGACTGGGGAGCTCCACCGGCATGCAAGCACACTGAAACTGGCTAAGGGCCACAGCCCCCTGTTGCCACTGAATTTGCTGCTGTGGCAGTGGAGAAAGCCTTTCAATTCTTGTCTTTAAAGCAAGGTGCATGCTGTCCATGCACCATGATGCACTTTGTTTACAAGTGGAGCAGTGCTTCTATTAAGCTTCCACTTGCAAGCAATATACACAGGGAGTGTGCACTTTGTGTTAAATTTGTTTGCTTCCACCATTGTGGTAAAGTTGCTAGTGGCACAGAGGTAAAGGTTCCCCTTGACAGTTTATCCAGTTGTGCTCGACTCTAGGGGGCGGTGCTCATCCCCGTTTCCAAGCCGTAGAGCCAGCGTTTTGTCCAAAGACAATCTTCTGTGGTCACATGGCCAGTGTGACTTAGACATGGAACGCTGTTACCTTCCCACCGAGGTGGTCCCTATTTATCTACTCGCATTTGCATGCTTTAGAACCGCTAGGTTGGTGGGAGCTGGGACAAGCGACAGGTGCTCACAGCTGCAGCTCTATAGACCTTACAGCACAGTGGCTTCTGTGGTTTAACCTGCAGCGCCACCACGTCCCTCTCTGGCACAGAGAGGGAGACCTATAAAAAACAGCCAAGGGGTCACATCCAGGTCAGAAGCCACATGTTGCCCATGCTTGCAGTACACCAAAGTTTGAAAGTTTTCACTGTTGTTAACATTACCTCAGACATCAGAATGCTAGCAAATTCCTGATATTCTGCACTGCTGGCATTGAGGAGTTCATCCGTGAAGTTATAGTTCAAGATCCTTATTGTTAAACCAAACATCAAGGCATCTAAACAGCACAATAATACAAGATTATTGGTGATAGGGTTCATCCAAGAACAAATAAATTTAAAGAAATATTATCACATTATATATATCACATTAAATATAAATATTATCACATTCATACACAGAGTGTATTCTAATAAAATCAATAATGTGCAAACATGTAACACATGTAATCACAACCTTAATTTTGAACCTGTACATCAACATAAAACTCAAAATGAGCAGCAATCAAAAAGAATTAACCAACTGTTTAAAACGGTTAAAAGTTCAAATAAAATACACAGGTTGCTCTCCCTATACCCAACACCTATGGTTCCAAGTTGAACAGATCTTTCAAATCTTGTCTAATTTGTCCATCTCTGGTTCCACATGAAGGTACTAGGGGAGTGAATTGCATAGCTTTGAGGCCAAGTGGGAAAATGCCCGAATTTGCCACCTCAGTTCAAGGGACCGACAAAAGTCTGGAATATGCAGACTGAGTCCTCTTAAGACAGGAAGAACACAAGGCTTTACGTTTCAGGATTTTAAAATGTGTCCTTGACCTGATAGACAGCCAGTGATGTGAAATATGAGAGAAACATGGTAGGTTTAAAATCACTCACACCACACTATTCTATCTAATCTTAAGTGTGAAGGAGATCTAAATCCAATTGTCAGTCCCAATTATAGGAGCCTCATTGAATCAATGGGAATTTAAAAGCCTTTACTCATATAAGTTCCACTGATTCAATGGATGTACAGTGGGGACTAAAAATGGATGTAGTCCTTAATTTTAATAATGAGGGTTGCCAGGTTTGGAGTATCCCACCCCCTAAGCTTTTAGGGCCAAAGCATAAGACTATAGGGGGTGGGTGCTTATGGTGTCCAAAATGGACTCTTATGATGTTAGAAGGTCAGAACAGGCAAGATTTCCCAGGGAGGAGATGCAGTTGCTGCTGGGCCAGCTGACTGTGGAAACAGGCAAAGGGGAATTATACGTAAACAGGCCAAGATAGACTTGGACTACTGAGATAACAAACCATCTAGAGTCAATGAAAAAGACATTTCTTGGTGTCCAGGCAGCTACCAAAATGTGTCTCAGCAAATGCATCTGTTGGTGCCATGCCTGCTATAAGTGACGTCCACACAGTCTTAGGGTGCAATAAGACAGCTGCAAAGGCACACAGCCAATCACACTGCAATCACACCTTCAAGTGACCCTTCTATCAGCCAGGGAATTGCTCCAGCTTGGCCCCAAAAAGCAACCTGCAGCTGGAAAAAAAGATGCAGTTTGGACATGGATGTGGGTTGGGCTGGAGCACATTTCCCCATGTGTCATTTGATTACCAGGAAAGAGATCACACTGGATCACTCCACAGGCACTCCAAATCGTGATCTATTTTCCCATGCGATCACACTCCTACTTGTCACAGAAGATACCTATGAGGAGTTCTGCTAAACTCTCTATTGCTGCTAAGTCTTGAGGAAAGCTCACCATCAGCTCACAAGTTGAATGTTTTCCCAAGGCCCTGGGCCTCTGCAATCACGGCATCTGTATTAAGAAGGCTCACGAGTAGCAATTCTAGTGCTTTACATCCTGTTTTGCTTCAACAAATGGGGCCAAGGACTAGCTCTCCATCTTATCCCATTTCCTCTCTCCTAATCTTTTGATGGACAACATTGTGCAAGGACAATCCTAATGCCAGCTGGGAATGGGTAGAGATAGCCTCCTTGGCTTTAAAGCCAGCTCAAACACAAAAATTATACATAATTCCTCTCTAGCGCTGTTTGCGTTTATATCTATCTACCTGCTTGGAGTCCAAAGGAAGCATAGCAATTCTTCAGCTGGGGTTCTGAAACTGGGCAACCGATTTATAACTAAATTGTTATTTGTGATGAGACCAATTATTCAGACCAGGATTACAGATTTCGGGTTGAACTGTCTGAAGTGTAAACAGGCTATCTGGGACAATACAGACCTGTAGTAAGAAGACAGAACTCCCCAATAATGGAGTTTTTAAGGACAGAAATTTAAAAAGATGTATTCAGCAAAAAATATGGGATGTTTGTGATTACCAGTTACTGTATGTCAAAATCAGATGCGTGTTCAGTCACCTCTGGTGATGTAATAATTGGGAAATATTGATACTTGCCACTTATTTAAAAGGAGTTGGGAATTACAATATATAAAGATCACAGATACCTGTCTTTACATTTCTGTAAGAGAAAATGGTTTTGCCACAAACGTCATAGCTGATTTTCACTGTGTACATTACACCTGCTTCCAGATTTGATACTTCAAGTTCCATATCCATGGTTTCTATTCGCTGAATGAGCTCCTTTCCTTTGTACACTTCGATCTGGAATGAATGGTTCTGCTTCGAATTTACACTCCAAGACACTTCAAAACTGTTGCTTGTGACACTGAAGATCTTGTAGTTTCTGATAGTAGGAGGATCTGTAATGTCAATCATCACAGAATTATAACAATTCAAAATATTTGTACAATCCCATCCTATGCATGCTTACTCAAATAAGTAATTTTACAAATTTCTTCTCATAAGGAAATGTGCAAAACCTGCAGCCAGTAACAGACATATAGATTCATGGTGCATTTCTGTAAAACTGCTTCTTAATATTAGATTGGTATAATACTCTGACCATACATAAAACGTTGATCCTATTTCATTTGGTCTTGTTTGACATGACCAATCCCAAGGTGACAATAAGATCCTATGCACACAAGAAAACCAAAACCAAATATATATTAACACTTCAGACTAGAAAAAATAATAATCTCTTTGTGTGTTAATTTCCTTTGATGCTAGTATTTTTCATAGCTCACTATTTATGATTCTCCAGGTGATGCAGACACAGTTACCAGGGAAAACCTGAGTTTCTACATTATCACTGCTAAACAAACAATTTATTTTATTAGCCTTAGCCTGGAGCTTCTTATGCATTTTTGTGTGTGCTAAAAACCATTTTTTAAAAATTCTCTATCTTTACAGAAACATGTGGAACTGTTTCTGCAGTGAAATCAGCAAAGTAACCCAGGAAATGTAGCTCCATGGCCCTATGACCCAGGGTTGCTTCCATTTACATGAGGTACTTGTGAGGCCCCAAGAGCTGAACAATCAGGACAGTAGCTGACTTTTCAGATTGCTAGGGGCACAGTGATGCATATACCTCACAATGGAAGTTCTTGTGTAATCTATTGTATCACTCTTATTATTTCCCTTAAGTGGCTAATTTATTGACACTCTTGTTTTGAGGGGGGGGGAGAATGCCCTAGAAAAATCTCACCTGCCCAGGAAAGGCCAGTCCAAATCATGGATGGTTGAAGTATGTTGTTGGAGAGTGACTCCCAGAGATCTTCACTGTTGCCTGAGCTTGGTGAGGCTAGTATAAGTTCCATTCCAACATCTGAAGGGCCATGCTTTGCTCACCCCATCCCAATTACCACATGAATTTCCCAAACAAGGTAATTTTACAAAGTCACAATTTTATGAATATATATTTGTTAGAATTTCTTTTTGAACCATTTTTATTGCAGTACAGTAATAGCTAAGTACTGAACTAAATGTTGATCGAGGCAATTCTGCAAAGAAGTGTTGTCAGCCTTATCTCTTTCATTTTCAGAAGGAATTGTGAAGTCCACTCTCTTGAAGCTCCAGTTGACTGACTGCCAAATCAAAGACGGACTTGAATAACAGTATGTGCCATCGAAATCACCTCATAAAACATTTTTTTCCCACTGGAAAAAAAAAATCATACATTCAGCTTCCCATCAACAAGTACTGAGTTGCTTTGGGATGAGAATTTCAAGTGACATACTTTGAAAATAAACCAGCCTTGAGGCCTAATGCTTAAAATAGTTTTCTTCACAGTGAAAAGAAGACTTTAAGTGGCCAATGAAAAAGAAATCTGAAGTAGTTGACAGAATTCTCTTTATATGCCACCAGATGTCTCTGTAGGCATTATAGCTGATGCAGCTTCAGGAGAGCCAATATCTGTCTTTACTTGTGAATTGTTGCACTTATTTTCTGTTTCTGTGATATCCCATTCCATGCTGTCTCAAAGTGTAATAAGCTAAAGCTGTACATGCATAGGTGTTCTCTAGACAAAGTAGAATGACCATTTAATAGAATATTTCAAAAGAAAATATAACTTACAGCATTCAGAATCTACAGATTTGCCGCTTTCTTGTGGTACAGATGCTGAATTTCTCACCAGATCAGAAGAATTGCTCTTTTCATACAGAAGGTTTGGTGAACTTGGATCAAAATCTATTGAAATCAAACAACAAACAGCCAAAAGAGAAGGCTGAACAAAGTCTGTTACCTCGAAGAAAAAACAGTGAAAAAGACAATGTCTAAGTAGTCTCTCAACTCTCCTCTTTGAAAGTGATTCATTTAACTGTTTACAAGTTAGATCCTGTTGTATTCCAGTAGCAGCTACACCTCTGAAATTGCAATGGTTAATATGCAGTCTCCATTTGCACCAGAAAGACTATTAGATGCAGCTGGAAACCAAACCGAGGGCCTGCCTACACTGGGAAACTAAGTCCAGTCCATGCTTAAACTTCTTCTCTTAAGTCCAATCTATTTTAATTTTCACTTGAGCAATCCTTCCATCCACACTGGAATTTGTGCTGAGTCCACTTTTTCTGTGCTACAGGTCCATACAAAGCAAGGGTTAACCAGTTTCCTCATATGTTTACCCAGTATACATGCAAGTACAGAGGCGGCAGCAACAGCAGCCAAGGATAGCTGCAGTATGAGAGGGAAACATTGGGGTGAAGGTTTCCAAGACAATTTCTCCTGCCTTTCTCCTCAATCAGGGCTCTGCTGGGACTGCAGGGTCCATGGAGTCACCATAGCCTGTTTCCCTGCCTTTTCTCGCAGCTATCATTCAGGCAGGCTCGGGTGACTTTCCTTCTTCTTTTTTTTAAATTAAAGTATGCAGCATATCAAAATGGCAATGCATCAAACTAGCATGGTTTTAGAATTTCACTGTGTCAGTTAGGGAAATATTAAAAATAAAAGATGAGAATAGAGATGGGGGTTTCGCCATCCTCCCTTTTAATGCCACAACCCATGCAATATGCCATAGGGTTGTCACTGAAGTTAATGCCACCCACAATCCCATTTTGGTGTGAGCTAACCATCTGCACAGGCTAAACAAAGAGCTAATTAGGATCACTCTGAATTGTGCCAAAAAGAATACATGCCCTACCGCTGTGCCAGAAAGGTGCACAGCACCTCTTAAAGGTGAAAGATGGGTCAATCTAAGTGTAAACGCATGTGGACCTCATCATTTAGCTTGATCCAAACCATGCTAACAATAATCAATCTATATGCCAATGTGGACAGGCTCTGATTGAACTTTATTCAATATCTAACTGTAAAAGATGTATGTTCACTGCACATGCAAAGCAAAACTACATAATCTCCTATATTCTCACAAGAAAGGCTAGAACTTCTCTTCAGACAGGATGCCCTGGTTTCTCATGTTTATATAGTATCTGTAATGGTTCCTAAAATTCTAAATTACTCTAAGCAGCTATATTTGCATAGCCCTAATTAACTCTCTTATAAAGCTGCACTAAGAACAAACATGTATGAAATAACAACCTTGCACAACTATGTCAATGACTTCAGACACCCGCATCACGATATCCTCCAACAAAGATGAAATGTTCACCAATGGAACCAACTGCTGCAGTCCAACTAGAATCTGAGAAGCCAATGTCTCTGCATAGAGTTCTGCCCGAGTAGTCTGGATATGGTACACTGACACATTCAAAGGCCATAAAGCTCCAGTGATCTGTGAAAAAGAGTCTCTTTTTGTATGTTAATTCATTGCACATACATGAAGCTACATATTCATTTGATATGAAATGCAGAACAAAAGAGTACAAGTATTGAATCAAAATTATTTAGTAATTAAAAGGCATGATGGTCATGAGGTCCAGAATTCCTCCATGGATGCATTCTATGCCTTGTATGTCATTCTACACTAAAAGTGTGGCCAGTGAGTATGTTAACAGCAGGGCAAGGATAGCCATAATAGCCTTGAAATCCACTCATTCATGTTTTAATCTGCCATGATATCCATTTGAATCTCACCCATCCACTAAATCTCTGGAATTCTGACAATCAGAACAAACAATGCACCATGTTATAGTATTGCAATCTGAACATCAAGTCTCTGTAACTAACATCTTGATTTTTATTATTATTATTTTAAATTGTATATCTTTGGTCAGAATTCCACTGGTGTTGACATAAGATATGTGCATCTTGCCACAGCTAATTGACATGGGGATGGGATGCATCCCAATGGTGTTTGGTCACAGGCTTGATGGTACAACCAAGGTATGCCCCAGCACTTTGACAGTTAGCCATGGCAAGTTGAGCAAACGTTCTGTGAACACAAAGAGGATTCATGTAAATATGCTCCCAACAGCCCCAACACACCCCCCCCAAATTCTAAGATTCGTTTTGTGGAAGGAATGGGTCAAAAAACCCTTTAGTACTTTCTAGGGGTATGGGGGTCATAGTGCCATGCTTTGAGAGGTCCCTGACAGCCCTGGAACTCATTGCCTCTCCAATTTTTTTTATTTTGTTTTTAAAAAAATTGGTCACTAGAAAGCAGTCAGGGGCTTTTCGATTTTAAACATCCTATTTTTGTAAGCAAAAGTTTGGGAGGTTGGGAAGCAGCTCCAGCTCTCCTTTATCATAAAAGACTCTGGAAAGCCAGGTTACATTGGGCAACTGAAAGGGCTCTTCTTGTCTGCAGGATATTTCACTGACTAAGTTTTCCTTTATTATTAGTGACACTGTTCCCCACTTCTGTCACCAGGGCTGCTGTTTCTTAGATACTCAGCATGTTATTCCTCCTGACATAACAGAGACTGAAACATTTGCTTCCAGTGTGTAAATAATGCACCATGGTATATTCATTTTGCAAACCAGCAATCTGCTACCAAGAGTTTAGCACTGGGGAAAAAAATTCTTCACAAAGCTGGCCAAGCCCACATTCCATTTCTTAGCATTATACTTGGTTTAGTCAAGATTCATATAGATGTTAGGAAAAGTATGAGTGTTGAGGGAAGAAGAGTTAGTTCCTGTCCACTAGGTGGCAATCGTAGAATCAATGTAGGCACTTCCATACCATTAAATAAGAGGACGAACAGAAGTATGTAACAAATTTAAAACTACTGTATTTATTCATACCATTGAATGCAAAAGCCGAGAATGATTCAGAAGTTTTGGATCCACTGTACTTAGCTTGTTGAAATCCATTTTCACCAGGACTGACACATTATACCAATATTTTGTCACTGTTTGCCCTGGAACAGAAGAGAACTGACTTATTTTTAGCTTGAACATTAAATTAATGATGCCCAGTTTTCATTGTGGTTTTCCCATTTGCAGAGGTCATATTTAATCTACTCACCAGATTACTTAGGTGGTTTACAAATTCTACACTGATGATCCTTTTATAAATAAAAAGATGGTGAGGGAGAGCAATTGGGGAAATTAGTCTTAGAAACACCTCTATAATAGCTTCTTTGCTGTCTACAATACAATAGCTTCTTTGCTGTCTCTTGGTCCTGTCATACAGTTCAGCTAGGCAGCTACTCATCTACAGCAGGGGGCAAGGACAGAACCACTGGTATCACTTCTGCTTCAAGTTCCATGTTGGCCATGCAAAACTCCCTTCTCCTCACTCAAAATGATAAGCTACATTTCTTGAAGGATTTTGTGAGGCATTGTTTTGTGTTCTATGAGTCTAAAGTTTCTCTCTGGTTTTCCATTCAATCATACACTCAGGTTGCAATCCCTTCTCCTCACTCAAAATGATAAGCTATACTTCTTTTGTGAGGCATTTGTTTTGTGTTCTGTGAGCCTAAAGTTCCTCTTTGGTTTTCCATTCAATCATACATTCAGGTTGCAATCTTATAAGAATGTACCTGAGAGAAAGTCCCACTGAATTCCATGAAATACATACATACATACATACATACATACATACATACATACATACATACATACATACATACATACATACATACATACATACATGCATGCATGCATGCATGCATGCATGCAACTTCATCAGACTTTCAGAACTAAAGAGAGATGGGAAGATTCTTCCAGAGACAACAAAGTTGAATGACATCAGAGAAGTGATATTTCGAGCATCCAGATAATCCGGTAGTAAGTCACAACTAGAGTAGGCCTATTGAATCAATGAAACTTACAAAGGAGTTGACTCTCCAAATCCCCACTGATTCAGCAGCATCCTCTAGCTACAAATGATTGACTGGTTGATTTAAAATATTTATATCCTGCCCTTCTCCTAAGAAGGAGCTGAGATATTCATTGGATTTCAGCTAAAATGTATTATTTCAGGGTTAAGCAAAGTATGATTAATCAGATTAATTTTTACCTGCAGCACAGAGGCTTCTGCAGTTTAGCCCACAGTGCCACCACATCCCGTAGTAAGTCACAACTAGAGTAGGCCTATTGACTCAATGAAATTTATAAAGGAGTTGACTCACCAAATCCCCACTGATTCAGCAGCATCCTCTAGTTATAACTGATTGACTGATTGATTTAAATTATTTATATCCTGCTTTTCTCCTAAGAAGGACCCGAGACAGTCATTGGATTTCAGCTAAAATGTATTATTTTAGTGTTGAGCAAAGTAAGATTAATCACACTAATTTTTTTCAAATAAGCAAGTTCTTCAAGATGGAAGTATATAAAGAAAAAAACAAAAGTAAAATTTAAAAGGTCAAATATTAGCTCTAGGCATGTCTACTCAGAAATCCCACTGAATTCAATGGAGCTTATTTCCAGGTACCTATGGACAGAACTTGTTTGAAATATAAGGGCTTCTTATTATACAGCACAACTCTAGGCATGTCTACTCAGGAATCTTACTGAATTCAATGGAGCTTGCTTCCAGGTACCTGTGGACAGAACTGCTGTACTAGGTTCAGTGGGTGAAGAAAGGGATGCTTTGCAGAAGACCAAGGCCATAGTCATGAGGTTATCTCTGATCTCTGAATGCTAACTTTGAGTAAAAGAGTGGGGAACCTGTGGCCCTCCAAATGTTGATGAACCACTGCACACATTATCCTTTACAACTGAAAATGCTGGCAAAGGCTGATAACAATTAGAACCCAACTGTATCTGGAAAGCCAGTGGTTCCCCAGCTCTAGCCTAAACCTTTTGTTCCTGCGAATATAAAGCCCTATTCAGGCATTTGTTACAAACCATGTAAAAAGACAATGGGTCCAGACATGTAGCACCAGGGCTTGAAAAAGTGTTTTGGGTTGCAGTTCTCACAGTCCCCCAGCCAGTGGCCATGCTTGTTGGGGAATTCTCGGAATTTTAATTCAGAATTAACTCTTCCAAACTCTGTGCAAGACAGAAGGTCCTTGCCTGTCTTCATTCCTCACCTACATATATTTAGCAGGAAGATATCAAGACGGATTCTCAATGCCTTCTATGTTCTATGCAGGGCTACAGATAGTAGAGAAATTTCTAATTACCGTAACATCTGAAAATGCTTCCCTTTCCCTCCATGCAGTATTTTAACATTATGAACACCTGAAGAAACATGGAAGCAGTATAGACCCAAATGCCTAATAGCAAGTAAATCCATTCTTATCCTTTCATAGTTCTGGCTAACAAAGAAATGGAGAATCTTTGGCCTTCCAGATGGTTTACATTATATATTCTATAATATCTTACAAATGACTATGATAGATGGGGCTGATGGGAGCTGTAAGCCAAAATATCTGGAAGTTTAAAGGCTGTCTATCCTGGAGTAGGGAACTGGAAAGGCACGGAGATAAATGGCAAAAATCAAGCTTGTTCAAAGTGCCAATGCATATTATTAACAAAGAATACAAGTAAACAACTATAAACATATTAGGTCATCTATACTGTGGTTTATGTCTGCTCTGCAAAAATTGTGTCTCATCCTCTAACCAATCTATATATCTTAAGCTCGCCACAAAAATTCTGATTATGGCCTTGCTGGAAGAAGAAAAGTATTAGTCAGTACTATACCTTCAGGTAAGGGAGCCAAACAACCCACTCCTTTAGATGTCTCACAGCATTTTTTATGTTCTGGACAATCCATATCAAACGTGCACGAAATATTTAATGCTTCTGCTTCCTTTCCTGGACAGACCCCAGGTCTTGAAGCAAAGTCACGGGATCTGTTTAGGGCTACAGAAGAAAGCAGTTAACAGCAAATTTGCACCCACTGGTCAGGATCTGAAGGGCTACTTTAGGTACGTCCAAAGGCTAGTGCTTGCTCATTGGGATTGTATAGCTATTTACAATCTGACCAGGTGATCTTCAACTTTTTAATGTGCCAGCATCCTGAAAGGAGGCACTACAGCAAACATGCCCAAGGAAATATTGAGTGGGTTTAGAAGCCCTTAATAATTATAGGCAAGCAGCAAAATGACAACAGGTTCAGATGTGCACTGGCAGACCAGAGCCAGGATCTCTTGGATGAAACAGGTACTAACAATAATGGTAGCAGAGTGCATGACAGCAAGTAGATCTCAAACATCTCAAAATGCCTGAACTGACAAGCAACACTCCTATCAGCAGTGTTCTGTCGCAGCACCTACAATGCAAAATTGAGCAGATTAAGGCATCAGTGACAACATAAGAAACAACATTGCGTTTAATTCTGAAATTAAAGAAGTCTTCACAGGCCAGCTAAACAGGTGGGAGAAGTCCATCCTGTTTACATCTGTACAATACAGATGAAAGAACAAGACCTTACTGTTTCTTCATTAGGAGCTGTGAATGTCAGCCTCACCCACCTACTGTGCTTAATCAAAAGGACTAGTGACTAAGCACCAAAGTATTTTCTTTCATTACAGGAGGAAATGTTCTGGTCTCTGAAGTGATATCAGAGCCAGGTGATGTTATTATTATTATGATGTACTGCCAGTATTGGCACCATCAGGGTTAATTAGTAATAATTATGACTACTGGTTTTCATACTGATGAGCTATTTTTGCAAAGGATGTAACAAATGATTAAGAGAAATGTGTCAAAGCTAGGCAGAGGAAAGAAAGGGCAGTGAGAGGTAGGGAACACTGAACAAGCATATGCAAATATTATCTCAGTCAAGCTGTGACTCACTCAAGGTAAATAAGATATGTATGTGCGCACAAAATAGGCATACAAAATATTCTTGAGCTTCCTCACATAACAGAACCATTAGGAATTATCTGTTATTTAAAGCATAGGCATAAGTTTGACAGACCCTTTGGCCTTTCTTACTCTAGTATCTTGTTTCCAAATCTGTAATAACAGGAATCCAAGCTTTAGTTCAAATGACTTTTATGTTCAAAACAACCGTTTCTCTTTCAAATGACAGCATAAACATGTTTAGTCATAGATGTGATCTATGCACCCCAGCAACTGGGGTGTCTAAGAAAGCCAGCTTGGAGCCACAGAAACCATTAAAGAAATATATCATTTTTACATCAGCCAAAAGACAGAGACAGACCTCCAACATGTCCCTGTCAAAGTCTATCAAGCTATAATTATTATAGGCACAATTCCCAGAGAGAGGCCATCTGTCAACCTCTTAAAAGATGAAAACTAATAAATGAGTCCCTTCAGTTAGTAGAATTCTTCCTGATTAAATCACAGAGGTGGCAAGTGTACAAAATTTATATGCATAAGAGCTCCCTTATAACGAATATAATAAGAACAGAATGACAGAGATTTTACAACCCTCACAGAACTATTGCTTCTTTAACATCTTTAAATATTTAATGTATTTCATCATTTCTCTTTCAAACTACGGTAAAGCTATAAACTAATCTAGAGGTCTTCAGATTAATTGAATTGGACTGTGGATGCTATCTAACAAAAGCAGTAAGTACCACAGAGTTGTGTTTCTTTTCTATCGACTGGTCCCAGAAGCGCAGCCAATGAATTTACCAGCAAGTGATCGTTTTGCTTCCCCATGTGATCACCGATTAATTAATTCATTCATTTCATAGTAGCCTCAGTATTTACTAAACACCTTAAAAGCAAAGTATTGTACTAACATGTCAACTAACATGCTAACATGTCAGACACTATGGGAAGTTGAGAGACATTAAATTTGTTATCTGTCACACAAAATCTGAAAGGGCAATAGATCTGCCATGCAGAGAGAAGAAGATTATTGCTTCCAAAGAGTAAAGTCTGAAGAGAAAGTATGATAGGAGAATCCATATTGAAAAGCCCTTAGTTCCAGTCATTTTGAATCCAGAAGAATCTATTCTGACTAACATCAGGCATTAACAATTGCTCAGTGACATGTAGTTAATTCATTCCCCCAGTTGTCAACTTCTTTTCATCATTTATTTAAGACAATGTCTAGACAGTTCATTATAATTTACACAAGGTATGTCTAAGACCTCAGATCCAAAGGATGATCTGAGGAAGGCAATGATGTATTTTTGTGGAGGAACCTAAGGAACCCTGTAAGTGCTTGGATGGGGGAAGATTTAGAGAGCTGCTCCAGAGCTATCTGACAAAGGAACCTCTACACAGACAGGACCCTGGGCGACCTATCCCTGGGTGCCTCCTTCTGTGGAATAGATCTGTGCATGTTGCTGAACCTCATCATTACCTGAATCAATATATGGCTTTGACAAATCAGTAATGTATTACAAATGAAGCAGCATTCCCCTCAAATGATCTTCTACCCACTATGAGAGAACTTGCAAATTCCCCTCAAAGTCAGTTCTTCCATAGGTGTCACATCCAACAGCTGTTAAGCCGTTCACTCTTGTACCAGCGCTCTACTGTAAAACAGGCAGGTGCTCTACATTTGTTTAGGTATCCCATGAAATTTCTTGGATGATTCATGGTTGTTTCTTCATGGAAGAAACACCAGCCTGTACAGGGTTATTATATTTCCTGGACTAAATGGTACCTTTTCTGCACAATATTCCCTCAAAAGGGCACTGATCTGCACAGAATGTAGCAGTTTCTTGCACAAAGTAAGAGGCAAATTTTTATTTATGCACAAATAAATAAGGAAAACAAAACAGTTCTAATTTCATTGATACAGGAGGCAATCTCAGTGAGTAGTCCTGGCATGATGGAAAATCCTCAAGAATGAGATATTTTTCAAGTATTCTTCACATCCCTACTGAGTGCAACTTTCCTCCTTCTCCCTATTTCCCAAAGCACCTTGGATTGTTTTTGTTTTTTTTAAACAGCTTTTTATTCATTTCTCAATGCTTTTGCAATGCAACAAATTGCTGTTGCTCATTATTGTGTATAGAGAGAATGATACATCACTAACAAGTTGTTTCTTACGTACATTAATTTTAAAAATAATGATAATCATCTGTCGTCGAGCCAGTTCTGACTTATGGCAATCCTTTTCAGGGCTTTTCAGACAGAGAATACTCAGAAGTGTTTCCCATTCCCTTCTTCTGTGGGCGCCCTGAGACTGTGCAGCTTGCCAATGGGTACAAAAGCTAGCTGTTCCCCTAGGAGGCATAGTGAGGAATTGAACTGCCAACCTTTGGTTCCACAATCAGATACCTAAATCACTGAGATATCATTCCAGACAGCTCTAAATCACTGAGATATCATTCCTCAGCTATCTATCCTTTAAAAAAAGGGGGGGTATGTGCTAAAAAAGGAAAAAGTGGCCAAAATGACCTTAAATCTCTCAAATAACACCCCTAAGGTAAAATTGTAGGTATAGTAAATAACACTGTTCACTCCACCAAAATGTGGCATTACCAGTTAACTTTTTGCAAAAAAGAAACAAGCAAACACTTTATCATTATATCCTAACCTATGAGCTAATATATTGTTGCTACATCATTACTTATTAAGTTGTAACATGTCATGAGTTCAGCAGAAGATCCAGAACCTGAGGGGTTAAATGTAGCTGAGGAGAATGCTGAGCGATTAGAAACACAAACAGCTGAATCGCCACCAGATTCTCCTCCCCCAGTAGACAGGGTGAGGGCCAGGCTTCAGCAAAGACTTGTAATGCAAAGGTCAGAGGATTGCCTGAAGGCTGCCCGCAGACACATCCAGTCAACTAGCCCTGAGTTCTGACAGGATGAAAAGGCTGCCAGCAGTTCAGTGACTGTTTTTACTATATAAGCAGCTCCCAGACAGCGGGAAGTTCGTGGAAGCAACAAGTCAAAGCTCTGGCTTGCATCCATGCTCCTGGCTACCTTGAACCTTGTTCTTTGGACCCTTGGCTTTAGACTCTGACCCTGGACTATGTTGTGTGATTTGGCTTTGGTATCTGGATATTGACTCTGCATTCTCTGAACTTCTGACATAGGACTGGCTTATTGGACTCTGCTGTTGTACCCCCTGGGAATGTGACATAACAGTTCATTTGGAGCTGTTCTGAAATCTGGCTCTAGAGGCTTTCCTGCCTTCCATATCTGGTTTGGAGAATGGCTCCATAGGGAGCTACAGTATGGAAGGGAAATGCCCCATCCTAGGTTTGTCAGAATCCCATCATTCTGCCAGCAAAACACCATTCTTGGATACTACTCTATGTGAACAGATTGTCCTACAAGGCATATTTGGGAAATATTTTTTCTTTATTTCAATCATTGTTTCTTGACCATGTTCTTTGTGATTTTTTAAAGATACATCTGAAAGGCTTCTGCAGATTGAATGTTTGTTCTGGCCACCGGCCTCAATTTGTGCTGTTTGGTACCAGATGAGTGCAGATCTCACCAGGGTTTCTGTCCATGCTAACTCATAAACCATCACTTCTCTTGAGAAATCACCATGTTTTAAAGAAATAGTTCAAAAATAGTTCCAAAAATTTAAAGAAATTGTTTAAAATTATATTTTGTGTTGGATGTTTACTTTTAGTAGCTTAGCAGTAACTGGGGATGGGATTTTCAAATTATTTGCAGTTGTAGAATTTCTTTCATCAATGAAAAGTCTTCACAGGAGTTTTCGGTCACATACATCTGAGAAATAAAGGCTCCATCAGCAATTTTGAAGAAGGCACAATTCCATGGGAACTACGAGGGATTAGGAAGATAGTAATCCCCTAATCCATTGTAGCTTTCAATGGAGGTTAGCACTCCCACACATCTCCTCTGTTGTCTTCACAGAAACAAAATGGCTGATGAAACCTTCATTCCTCTGTTGAAAGTAACTAAACATACCATGAGGACTTTAATTTTGGGGGTAAAACACCCTGAGGTAATACCTGCTGAAATAAAAAAAAAATCCAGAAGTTTCATGCATAGGAATGACGGATTACTGGGCAAGATAGAAACCATGAATGGCTTGTGAGTGATGTAGTTCAAGGTGTGCAGGTAGGTCAAATTTACAGAATTTGTTAAAAAGAATTAAAAACAGCAAGTGCAACAGCAGTATTTGGGGAAATGTACTGTATTCTCAATGGATGCAAGTTTTCTAAATCATCCATAGGCTACTGAATTTCCATAATTTACTATAGTGTTTTCTGCAATAAAAACAATTCTAATAATATACTGTATTCCATTCTGAGAATGAAATCCTCTACTCATAACAAAATAAATGATGACTCCCTATTAGAACATGTCTATTCTTAGTGCAAGCCAGGAACACGTATGAATGTTTTCTTTAACAACTACTGATGAGGATGAATAAGAGCTTTATGTGTCTCAATGAGACACATAAAGCTCTTATTTTTTTTACAAAAGAATTTGTAAAAAAGAATAATAAAAAGCCTTTTTTTTTTTAACCAAAAAGGAACCCTGGGAATTTAATGAATGACGACAATTTAATAATTTACTTGACTGTTTAACACTTGCCTCTTAAAATTAATCACAGG